TGGCTCTTTTATCACAGCGTCTTGAATCGTGCCCCCCCCTCTCTCCCCACTCCACGCTCATCCGCTCCACCCCCAAAACATGCTCCCAGATTCGAGGGAGCCAGGCACAAAGGAGCGAGATTCGAAAATATGCTCCCAAAATGCAGGCGAGGGATCCCCGAGGCATCAAGGGGGGAAGAAAGTCAAGAATGGAGAGGAAGAGCCACGCGCACGGGGTCCAAGCAAAAACTCTCGACGTCGGCGGTCTTTAGAGGGGCCAGCGCCCTCGAAGCGAGGGCTTTGGACGGACGCGTTCCGGGCGCCCACTCTGGCCGAAATTTACACTCCCACGACACCGCTGGCTGCAGCACCCTGAAGACGACGGACCCTGGCCGAGATTTTTGCGCCTGCGACCACAGCCATCAAGGAGGTCGAAATGCCAGATCGGGGGCTCTTGAGCCTCTGAAGTGCAGTCAGCCAGCCTCTTGGGTGACCTTCGCATGGGGAGGGAAAGCATGGAGAGGGGGATGGAGAGGAGGGCATCTGCGTGCCCTTTTTCGGAACGGACGAACAGAAACCTCCAGAATGAAGGTCGAGCCTCCCGTCACTCCAGATCGTCGAAGCTGGAGAGGCATATGGGGCAATTGTCCCGCGTGGGCGTTGCTCTATGGGGGGGAGGGGGGGCAATGAATGATGGGGGGAAGAAACGTGCACCTCTCGTGCCCCTTTTGGGCCCAGCGGGCCCCGTTCAGGGTACAAGAGTTGCACCGTCCTTCACCCCCCCCGTGCCCTCCCCATGTATCGCCCCCTGTTACGAGCGTCTTCTTTCGGGGATGCACAGACCTCCCTTCGTAAACGTGGTTTAGTGAAAACGACCTGAGGCCCAAACCTGGCGGGCGCAAGCCTGGAAAAAAACGGCCGCGGCGCCCTCTCGAGAGCCGGAAACGGGCAGTTCACTCATCGACGTGTCACTGTTGGGGGCTGCGTCCGCCCCCGATTCTCACGTGTTCGGCGCTTCGGCAGCGAGCGCCCCGTGCACGCCCCCCCCAGATGTGAAGGGGCCCCGGGACACACAAAGAAACACACCCAAAACAAAACGATCCCCCATATCTTCCCATACTGTCTGGGCTTGTGTCTTCCCGCCCAAGTCCCATATCTTCCCATATCTTCTTGGGAATCGACGATGAATTGTGCCTGTGCGTTTTTTCCTGAAAACGACGCGACGCCCGAGGCTCGCGCTCTCCTCGGCCGCTCCGGCGCCGTCCCCACGGAGACCCCGCGGCAGGGGCGAGGGCCAAAGGGCCGGCGCCGCCCGACCCGGAGAGCCTCGAGAAAGCCTCCTCCGCGGGCCCCCCGCGGCTCGCCCGCAGACTCCGGCGCGCGCCTCGCCTCCTCCTCCTCCTCCTCCTCCTCCTCCTCCTCCTCCTCCTCCGCCTCCTCCTCCTTCTCCTCCTCCTCCTCCTCCTCCTCCTCCTCCTCCTCCTCCTCCTCCTCCAGCCAGGCGCGCGTCCGCTGAACCTCGCGCGGATCGACGCTGGCTTCCGTCGCGTGCCCGCTTCGGCTCTGCGAGGCGCGGCCTCTTGCCGCGAAGCTCCACGGGGTCGGCTGACGCCCTCTCTGTGGCTCGCCATGTTGGTCTGGAGGGGCCCGACTGGCCTGGATGCGCCCCGAGAAGAGTCTAGGCAGGGCCTTTTCGATGGTGATAACTTGAAGAGGAAGTCGCGTTTCCGAGCTGATATCCGCTGGACTGCTGTCTGCATACTCGTGCAGGTGCGAATCTCCACGGGCATGGCCCTAGAACAACTCAAGAGGACGCTTGAAACGACGGCCCTCTCCTGCCACAAGCACCATGCCATATGGTTGTTCAACGTGTGGTCTGCAGGGTGTCCACGAAAGCAACGCATCTACAGAGAAAGCCTGCGAAGCACTGCTGCTCGAACCCTTGAAACTGTGAACACAACATCCGTTCGTGGTCGAAGACAATAACCAGTCGTTACAAATCGTGCTGCTCGTTCTATGTGCCGAAAAACATCTCGCGCGTTCACAGCGGCGTGCTGCAGCGAAGCGCAATCACGCAAGCACGACACCACAGATGCGCACAACATCCCGCATACGGGGATCAAGCGCGATGGCGCTTTGAGTCGGACATCGGCACACCGCACTGTCCGAAGCCCGCGCGCAACTTGCGTTCCGAAAGTTGCCTCGAGACCAGCGCTCTTCGGATGCGCTCCCCAATAGCCACGCATGTGGCCTCCAAGGCCGAAGAAAAGAAAGTTTGTCCCAACAAGGCCGCACAGCAAAACCGAAAGCGGACCGAACCGACAGCGAAACCGAAACCGACCGAAGCCGACAGGCCGAACGCAGCCTCGAAGGGCCTACCGACGCGACGCCACGATGACCGACCGAACCGAACCGACCGGCGCAGCCGACTGCGACGCAGCCGAACCGACCGAGCCGCGAACACCAAGACCCTGACAGCCAGTCGAGGGCAGCCTGCAGCAGCGCGATGGCTTCCCCGCCAGCTGCGCCCCGAGCGCCCGCGGGCCGTCCGGGCAGTCAAGGTCGCTGCGCCGCATCGGTTTCGGCAGGCGCTGCTCTCAGCGGAGCGCTCTCCTCCTCCTCCTCCTCACTCGCCTCCTCCTCCTCCTGCTCCTCCTCCTCCTCCTCCTGCTTCTCCTCCATCTCCTCCTGCAATCCTCCTCCACGTCCTCCTTCTCCTCATGCTCGTCCAGCTCCTCATCCGCCTCCTTTTCTTCCCCGTCCTCCTCATTGATAAGACACATCCTCCCCCCTCCTCCTCATCCTCCTTCTCCTGCTCCTCCTCTTACTCCTCCTCCTCCGCCTCATCATCATCATCATCATCATCATCATCATCATCAGCAGCAGCAGCAGCAGCAGCAGCATCACCACCACCACCATCATCATCATCATCATCAGCATCATCATCATCACCATCAGCATCATCATCATCACCATAATCGTCCTCCTTCTCCTCCTTCTCCTCCTCCTCCTCCTCTTCCTCCTCCTCCTTCTCCTCCTCCTCCTTCTCATCCTCCTCCTCCTCCTCCTGCTCCTCCTGCTCCTCCTGCTCCTCCTGCTCCTCTGCTCCTCCTCCTCCTCCTCCTCCTCCTCCTCCTCCTCCTCCTCCTCCTCCTCCTCCTCCTCCCTCCTCCTCCTCCTCCTAATGAAGCGCGCTTCCTTGCAGCGGCAAAGGCACCCAGAGAGAGTTCCTCTTCCACTCCTCCTGCTCCTCCTCCTCCTCCTCCTCCTCCTCCTCCTCCTCCTCCTCCTCCTCCTCCTCCTCCTAATGAAGCGGCTTCTTCCTTGCCAGCGGCAAGACCTGAGGCCGCCCCGCGCGGGGCCGAACACGACACCACACCACACACCCAGGCACGGGGACGGCGCAGGCATTCGCCGGTACTTCGCGGCGCGCTGTTGCCGCCCGGAACGGCCTTCTGGGGCCAGATCTGATGGCCCGAAGCCGAAGGCAACTGGACACTGCCCATTCATCTGCCGTCGCGCCCTCGGAACGCTAGGCGTTCTTGAGAATGCACGCGAGCTGTCCGACAGGGTGTCTGCAGCTTCCCAACTGACGGGAGGGGGACTCCACCATGCTAAAACAGGCCGAGGAAGGAAGAGGAGGAGAGAGAAAGACATGTATATATATACATATATATAGAGTGTGTGTGAGAGAGAGAGAGAGAGAAACAGGGAGGAACGAGAAGAGAGAGAGAGAGAGAGAGAAAGAGAGAGAGACAGGGAGGAGCGAGAAGCGAGATGTCGAACGTGGCCGACGCGCGGCTGGCACGAGGCACGAGCTGGGCACGCAAGAGGGGGCCAACGTCGACGTACTATCCGCAGGCCGCTCTGGCGGGGCGGGCAAGGCCAGCGGAGACCGACGCGCGCCGCGGCCACACTCCTCGGCCACTCGGTGGGGCGCAGGGTGCCACCTGCCGAGGAGCTGGGGACCAACGACAAACTCAAAGAGAACTCCCAAATGACGACGGCAAGCGCCATCAAGCGAGCGTGAGGCCCCAACGCCGTGAGACTGACAGTGCCCGACCGAAGTGGCAGTGACTAACGAATCACGCACCGGCAGAGGAGACACGAAGGAAGGGGGAAGAGGGGAGTCAAATAGGAAATGGACGAGAACCGACTTGCAACCCTGCGCAATCGGAGGGCACAACCCGTCGGCGCCACACCAATGACACGAGCACGGAGGATCGGCCGGCGCGAGGTCCGTCGCGAAGGCAACATGCCCACAAGAAACACGAACTTCGTGCATAGGTTTCTCCCTGGGCGGCGAGTTGGCCCAAGTGCCACGGCCCCGCAGACGCGGAGTGGAGGCATAGGGCGGGCTCCACGCACCAGGGGGATGGCCCATGTGCTGTGCACATGCACGCGGGCGCCAGGACGTGACCAGACAACAGAACGCCCCCCCCCCACCCACCCACCCGCCCACCAAAAGCAGAACGAGCACAAGACAAGACAAACGAAACGTGTGCAAAGGAAAACCCCGGGCGGCGAGGTGGCCCGGGCGCCACGGCGGCTCCGCCGCCGCGGCGTGGCGGCGAACGGCGGGCCCCGCGCAGCCGCCGCGGGGGGTCGGGCCGTGCTGCACGGGCAGGCGCTCATTCGGCGGGCGGCGCCTGCTCTCGGCGCCGCGGGCCCTCCCGCTCGCTTGCCGGGGCCCTCTCCGCAGCCGCGGGCCGGCCGCAGGACATGCCAGGGACGCCCCGGGGGGCCACGAGGCGGCGGCAGGGTGCCCAGGCAACAGCTCAGGGTGGGCCCGCAGGCGGGGGGGGGGGGGGCGCAGGAGCCGCAAGGGCTCGAGCCAGAATGGCGCTGGGGAGGAGGAGCAGTACGTGCAGGCTGAGCAGGGGAGGGGAGGGGATCAGAGGAGGGTGGGAGGCATGGTGGGTTCTGGTGTCATTCCCCGCCGCGCTCCCCCCTTGGATCCCCCTGGGCCGCCCCCAGGCCCTGACTATCCCGCAGCCAAGAGATCAGCTATGCCGAGGCGCCTCATCAGCTCTGGAGTCAGGCCGACGTAGCCTGGGCGCGGGAAAGACGCACATGTCTACGTACATGTTCCATTATATGTATATGTATAGTTATCTTGCTCTTGCTATTGCTAATTATATGTTTGTTTCGTTATCTTTCTCTGTCTATGTCTCCTTCTCGTTCTCTGTGTTTATTTCCCGTTCTCTCTCTCTCTCTCTCTCCTTTCTCTCTCTCTCTCTCTCTCTCTCTCTCGAAGTCTATAGCATGTCCGTCGCCCCTAAATACATAAGTATATGTATACCCCTATATAAAGCTTGTTTTTTGTTTCTCCCTATAGTTCGCTCTCACTGTCTCTCTCTCTCTCTCGCTCTCTCTCTCTCTCGCCCTCTCTCTCTCTGTATGTCTTTCTCGCTCCCCCTCTCTCTCTACACACAAATACATGTAAATGTGTATGTGCATACAAATAAACATATATATATATATATACAGATCCTATCTCTCACTCTGTCTCTCCCTCTCTTTCTCTCTCTCTCTCTCTCTCTCTCTCTCTCCCCCACTCGCTCGCTTTCTGTCCATCGTCCCTCCCTCTCCATCTCTCCTTCTCTGTTCTGTCTTTCCCTCTCTCTCTCTCTCCCTCTCTCTCCGTCACCATGACTCGGTCACCCTCCCTCTCAGTCTCTCGCACGCGCATCTGAACGTGCCCAGCTCCGACGCCACCTGCCCGACACCCCCGGGGTCCTGGTGCTACCAGCCTGCCCACCAGCCAACACCGGACGCGCCGAAGAGGGCGGCCAGGAGGGGGGGGGGGGGAGACGGGGCGCCATAGGCCCCAGGCACGTGCGCGGATGAGAGGGGGCGCGGGGCCTGGGAGCGTGAAATGAAGTCTTGGAAACCCTGGCACTCCTCGAAATCTTGGGAGGAATTTCTGGGAAGTGAAAGTCTTGGCCTCAAGGAGGGGCAATGAAATCTTGGAAGCTCCGTGATGTCATTCACCCCCCCTCGTGGACGCCCCCAAACAAGAGAGAGAGCCCTGAGGGCCGAGCTCCCTGGACGGGACAAGTTTTTGTCCACAGCAAATCTCCTGGAGAGGGGTAAAGGGAGAAGGGAGAGAAACGCGGACAGCCGAGAGGCGAGAGAGAGAGAGAGAGAGAGTGAGAGCGTGGCATCAGTTCCCTCACCGGGGACAGGGTGAGGGCTTTACTGGGGCCACCCCGAGCCGTCCGATGCCCTGCGAAGAGGACCTTCCGCGGCAATAGGACGCGGCCTGGACGAGAGCGGGTGCCCGTGCCCGATGAGGGCGCGTCCGGACAGCCGTGTGTACCCCCGAGTAACCCCTGACTCGTGTGGGGGAGCCCCGAGTCGTCATCATCCGCATCATCAATATCACCAGCATCATCACAAGCATCACCACCACCACCATCATCATCAGCATCACCATCATCATCACCATCAGCAGCATCATCATCATCATCACCACCACCACCACCACCACCACCACCATCATCATCATCATCATCATCATCATCCTCATCATCATCATCATCATCATCATCATCATCAGCATCAGCATCATCATCATCATCATCATCATCATCATCATCATCATGATCATCATCATCATCATCATCGTCATCATCAGCATCATCAGCATCATCTTCATTCGCATCAGCATCATCACCACCGCCACCACAACCACCACAATCAGCATCATCAGCAGCAGCAGCATCATCCCCATCCTCATCGTCACCATCACCATAACCAACAACAATGGCAGCAGCAACAACAACCACAGCACAACAACAACAACAACAACAACCACTGCCACCACCACCAACAACACAGCAACAACGACAACAACAATCACAGCCGCATTCACAACCACAACCCCAACAACAGCAACCACAACAACAACGTACTCACCGCCATGGTAATAACAGCATCATCAGCAGCAGCAGCAGCATCGTCCTCATCAACATCATCAAGCCTGCTCCACCTCCTCCTCCTCCTTTTCCCCGGCAGTCCTCCATGTTCCTCCTGTGCCTCCTCCTGTTCCGCCTCCTTCTACTCCTCCTCCTCCTCCTCCTCCTCCTCCTCCTCCTCCTCCTCGTCCTCCTCCTCCTTCTCCTCCTCCTTCTCCTCCTCCGCCCCCTCATCTGCCTCCTCCGCACCATCCTCCTCCTCCTCCTCCTCCTCCTCCTCCTCCTCCTCCTCCTCCTCCTCGGCATCGTCGTCATCATCATCATCATCATCATCATCATCATCATCATCATCAGCAGCATCAGCATCAGCATCATCATCATCATCATCATCAGCATCATCATCAGAATCATCATCATCATCATCATCATCATCATCAGCATCATCATCATAATAATCATCATCATCATCATCATCATCAGCATGATCAGCATCATCATCGTCATCATCATCGCCATCATCAGCACCATCATCAGCATCGGCAGCATCAGCATCAGCATCATCAACCTATCTATATATATATACATATATATACCACTAGCATCTCAATCACCATCATAATGATCATCAGCAGCAGCATCATCAGCATCATAACCAGTTTCAGCAGCATCATCGTCATCATCATTATCATAGTCATCATCATCATCATCAGCAGCAGCATCATCATCAGCATCGTCATCAGCATCCGCATCATCATCAGCATCAGCATCATCATCAACATCATCAGAATCAGCATCAGCATCAGCATCAGCATCATCATCATCAGCATCAGCGTCATCATCAGCATCATCAGTATCATCAACAGCATCAGCATGCATCAGCATCGTCATCGTCATCACCGGCATCACCGGTGCCATCATCATCATCGCCACCACCACCACCACCACCACCACCACCACTACCAGCATCAGCATCATCACCATCAGCATCAGCAGCAGCATCGTCAGAATCATCATCATCAGCATCATCATAAGCATCACCATCATCCTCGTCATCATCATCAGCAGAATCATCATCAGCATCGTCATCATCGTCATCACCACCACCACCACCATTATCATCATCATCACCATCATCAGCATCAGCATCACCACCACCACCAGTATCAGTCGCATCACCATCACCATCAGCATCATCATCATCACCATCATCAGTATCATCAGCATGGTGAACAGCATCATCAGCATCGTCAGCATGTTCAGCATCACCCCCATCGGCATCCTCACCATCTTCAGTATGAACAGCACCCGCATCAGCACCATCATCGTCATCAGCAGCATCATCAGAATCATCGGCATCGGCATCATCATCGGCATCAGCATCACCCCTGCTGTTGCTCTCACCATCGGTCTCGTCTCCCCGCCCTGCTGCTGCGGTTGCCGTTGCCCCCCCCCCCGCCGCCAACGTCGGAGGCAGGCGGGGGAGGCCTCTGGCCACGCCTTGGGCGGCGCAGGGCCGCGGGGAGGAGGAGGCGGAGGAGGAGGAGGAGAGGAGGAGGAGGAGGAGGAAGAGGGAGGAGGAGAAGGAGGAGGATTGAACTCCTGCGAGGGGGAGGCCCCGCAGGCGTGGGCGGCGGCGGCCTGAGCCGTCCAGCAGGGGTGCGCAGTGCTTGTACGCCTCGCTGGCGCGAAGCGCGGGCCCCGCGGGCACCTGAGAGCGGGGGTGGGGGAGGCTCCTGCGGGGTGTCCGCCGCCTCCTCCTCCTCCTCCTCCTCCTCCTCCTCCTCCTCCTCCTCCTTCGTCCTCCTCCTCCCTCCTCTTCCTCCTCCTCCTCCTCCTCTTCGCGTCCTCCTCCTCCTACCCCCTCCTTCCTATCCTCCCTCTCCTCCCTATCCTCCTCTCTCCTATCCTCCTCCCTCCTCCTCCTCCTCCTCCTCCTCCTCCTCCTCCTCCTCCTCCTCCTCCACCTCCTCCTCCTCCTCCTGCCTCTCCTCCACCTACCGCGACCACGGGAATCACTCGTGACACAATGACCACCTCCCGCATCGTAATCATCATCACCATCAGGCTCGACACCGACATCGACATCAACAATACCAATACTCCAAACCATCACCATCACCATCACCACAACTACCATCGACATCATCATCACACGTGGGATATGTGTAGTAGTGCATTGCCTCCGCCGCATTCCTTCCCGCCTCCCTCCATCCTCAGACTAATTCATAATGAGAATACCCAGACTCACTCATACTCAGATCCATTCACACTGATGCTCATTCACACTCAGACCAACTGATACTCAGGTTAGTCGCAAACAAAAACTCATTCGCACAGGCCGCTCGCTCACACCTAAGACTTACCTATACTCAAAAGCACTCGTACTAAGGCCTTTCACACTCAGATCCACTCATAATCAGCCTCACCATATTCAAACTCATACACACAAACCGCGCGCACTCATATGACCAACCTGCCTCATTTACACTCAGACCCTAACACACTTTGGCCCCCTCACACTCAGAGTCACCACTCACACCCAGACCCGCTCACCGGTGATCACAGTGATGTAGCGGGCATGGCACTTGGCCGCCCCGAAGGGAAGCCAACCGGTGGTGTTCCCAGGGGCCCGCTCGTGCGGAGAATTGGCTTCACTCTCGACCAGAACGCCTGCTCTGGTAGCCCAGGCTCCTCTGCTCTGAAAGCCCCATGACCGTCGCGATACAGCCGGCGTAGCACTTGGGCACCACCTTGGGGAGTCGACCACGTGCGTAAATCAGACACCCCATCGCGAAGCCACTGCGAAGCATATGGGAAAGACCCTCGCAGGTTCGAGCGAAGGCTGCATCGAGGCGCGTCTGCCCGAGCCCTGCGCGCTCAGAAGCAAGGACGACACGAGGCCGCTTGGGAGACAAATCCTCCTCGCCCTCCTCATCCTCCCGAATTTCTCCTCATTCGGAAAAAAATGCAAAACATACAATTTCGGAGGTCCGCTCGGATTTCTCGGATCGGCGCTAGACCCCCCTCACCGGCGCGCGGAGCGCGCCATGGGCGGCACAGGAGGTGCCGCTAAGGGTGCCTGGCGCCGCGCGAAGAAATCCGAAAGGATCTCCAAACAATGGCTTATGCCATGCATACTTTTTTGACCCCATTTTCATCCTCGTCCTGGGAGGCCCAGCGGAGTGGCGCCTCACGCGCGTCCAGACTAGACCTCGCGGCCCCCTGGGGCGCCGCCACCTGCACAGCTGTCGCCACGTTCCGCAGATCCCTCGCGGTGTTTTTCGTTTTGAGCGGTCCTGTTGATAGCCGCCTCGTGCAGAGGAAGGGCTGGGCACGTGACTGGGCAATTTCTTACCCGAATCCTCCCCAACTTTATGTAATCCTCCCCTGATTGCAAGAAGATCGCGACATCGCGAAACAGCACGACAAGAGCCCCAGACGCCACCTCCTGCGGCCTTTTGTCGAACCCGATCGATCTGTGACGGCCCCAGGGCCCGAAAACTGGGCGAGAACGCCTGGCGTGAAAAAACAGCAACGCCCCGAACTCAGACAAACCTCTGCCCACAGCGCCCACAGCGCCCAGCGTTGTGGGCGGGTCGCGGTCGCGGGCTGAGGTTCCTCCTCCTCCTCCTCCTCCCCCGCCTCCTCTTCGCTCCTCATTCCTCGTTCCTCGCTCCTCGCCCCGCGCTCCTCGCTCCTCGCGTCTCCTCCTCCTCCTCCTCCTCCTTCTCCTCCTCCTCCTCCTCC